CTTGTACTGGAATGGATGTTATTTTCCATGAGAATTAGCAACACTGTGAACCAAGTATTTCCTGCTTTGCTCTTTATTGACTCAGGACAGATTCTCACTTCACTGTTGCCATTGAAATTTGGCCTTGCTGTATGACTCATTCTGGCCAATGAAATGGGAGTTGAAATGTTGGGTATTACTTCCTGGTGGAAAAATCTGTGAGTCAATCTGTGCCTTGCTGTGCCCCATACTTTTGTACGGGGATTTGTGGATGTATAGTACTGTGATACAATACTTATTAGTTGGGACTGTTGATTTACTATGGTAACTAAAAGCACCCTACTGATCTGAAATACATATGTAGTATGGAGTGAGAAACAAATTGTTCTTAATGTTGAAACTGTGTTTTGGCATAATAACCTAATTTATCTGGCTGACACATTCTCTCAAGAATACTGAAATCAAATTAATTCAACTTAAATCTTTTAGAAGCCCTATGTTTTAAGGATTCAAAATATTAACAGGACACATAAAAATAATGATCAAGAAAAAATTTTAAAACAATCAAATCCCTTGCCTATAAGCAAGATGATCTTTCTAGAACCCTGAACTTGGCCTATTCCTAACCAGACAGTTGTATATGAAGTTGTGAAAACACAAATTCAGAAACAAAGTTATTCTAGTTTGAGCCTCACTAGGAGATCAGTTGATCTCTCCCAGTTGTTTGGAATCCATGACCAATAAATATAAGCTCAGGAGAATTTTCCTCAAGAGATTAATTATGAATGAACCATGGCACTGGTTCCCATGTTTACTGTGTGTTGGGGAGCACCTATCTGTGTATAATGCCTCTTAGAAAAAAGTATTTGTAAAATTTAGAAATTTATACAGGTGATGTGCTCACAGGTATTTGGAGTGTCTTTCTTTCTTATTTAGCATATTGGAAACCTGTTGAGGCCCATGCTTCTGCCACACCCTGGCAGAACTGAATGTGAACTTTGTGGGGCATTTCATCTACCTTTTCCAATGAGAGGCATTTGTAATTCTCTACTGTGATGACTGTTACTATGACTCTTGTTTTGGGTTTGGCTAGGCCAGGAGTCTGCAAACCTTGGCCTATGGATCAAATCCAACATATTGTATGCTTTTGTGTGGCTAAATATAAATTTATATAAATTTTACTTAAATGTAGGATGAGCTTTTGGCTGTTGTGGGCATTTGGGGAGTAAACCAACAGATGGAAGATTTATTTCTGTCTCTTTGCCTTTTAAATAAATAAGTAAAATAAATAAATGAAAAAATTCTGATTAAAAATTATACTTAAATTTAATATTAATTACATTCATTAACAAATATAATTTTTTTTCACATTTGTAAGTGGTTGAAAAAGTCAAATGAACAGTATTTCATGACATAGAAGAATGATATGAAATATAATTTTGATATCCATGGATCAAGTTTTCTTGGAACATGATAGTCATGTACATTTGTTTCTGTGTTGCCAACTGTTAGCCCAGGCAAATGAGTTTTGCCTCCTTCAGCAGATTCCTAATTTGAACTTGTTGATGTCTTTTCTGTATTCCCAGGTGCCTAGTATACACCTGAATTTCTATAGTCTTCCTTGGACTTTGTCTTTCCAGTTATATGACTTTTCTCTGGGCTTGATGGATTTCTGATAGTTTGGAGGAACAAAAACACTTCCTTTATTACATTTTTTGCTTGAAGGCATGGGACATGGCCTAGTAGTTCATTTTCCGTCATGACTCCTCTGACCTTTCCAGGGAGGCTTAGTTGAGTTGGATTTTTTTTAACGTCTTTATTTATTCCTTTCCTCTTCTATATAAGCAAAGCTAATACTGATGGATCTGAGTGTCTTTATTTTTGCTTTTTACCCCCTAGACTAGACTTCTCTTTTCCTAACCTAGTCTTCTAGATTTTTCTACTATGGTTTTTCCTTGCAACAAGAGATATGACATTGAAGAGTTCTGGTTTTACCTAATATAGCAGTTGTTCACAGACATCTTGTTTGCTTTCATCCCCCTGAAATGTACAATCCCACCCAAGAAATATTCTATCAGACCAGCATCTCATGTAGGCCTGGACTCAGTGTGTCCTGCCTGGCCCTCCTTTGGAAGTCTCATAATTTCTCTGAACTTAAAAAAAAATGTTTTTTTTTTTTTTAATTTATTTGAAAGGCAAAGTGACATAGAGATAGATAGGGAAAAAGAGAGAATTCTCCCATCTACTGGTTCACTCCCCAGATTCTTATTTATTTATTTATATTTTTTTTGACAGGCAGAGTGGACAGTGAGAGAGAGAGAGAGAGACAGAGAGAAAGAAAGGTCTTCCATTTCCATTGGTTCACCCCGCAAATGGCTGCTGGGGCCGGTGCACTGTGCTGATCCGAAGCCAGGAGCCAGGTGCTTCCTCTGGTCTCCCATGCGGGTGCAGGGCCCAAGCACTTGGGCCATCCTCCACTGCACTCCTGGGCCACAGCAGAGAGCTGGACTGGAAGAGGAGCAACTGGGACAGAATCTAGCACCCCGACCGAGACTAGAACTTGGGGTGCCAGCGCTGCAGGCGGAGGATTAGCCTGTTGAGACGTGGTGCCGGCCCACTCCCCAGGTTCTTACAAGAGCTAGGGGTAGATCAGGATGAAACCAGGAACCAAGAAATGTCTGTGCCATATACCTGCCCCTTGTTTTGAGTCTTAAAGTTGTAAATTCATAGAATTTCTAGATTTTCTCCCTCAGGACATAAGCAATACCTGCATCTCTTAAAATAGCCATGTCATCTTCAAATTTACTGAATAAGATTGTAAGAATCCTACCCTGACAGTCTCAGTTTTCCTTCTACAATCTGTCCACACATTCTGTAATTGCCTGGCATAGCAGTGCCAGTTTTCAGAGGGATTCCCTGACTCCTCTCCTGATGGCCTTGGATAGCTTTAATGAGGTGCTTCTGAGTAGGTTTCTGACATGGGCTCCCTATGAGGACATACCAGCCCTAATGTAACAGACTGCATACTGAGTGGTTTCAGCAACAGAGATTTGTTGTCTCACTTTTCTGGAGGCCAGAAGTTGTTTGGCAGGATTAGATCATTCTGAGGGCTGTGAGCAGAAAATCTGTTCTAGGACTTGGATTTTGCATGGCCTTCTCCATGTGTCTCTGCACATTATTTTCTCTCTACTCCTAAATTGTCTGTTTCCCAATTTCCCCATTTTATAGGGACACCAGTCAGACTGGAGTAGAGTCCTAACTTACACCAGTATGACCGCATCATAAGTAATTACAACCCTATATTCAAAAAGTGGCACATTCTGAGATACTGAGGCTTAGGACTTCAACATGGAATTTGGGACCCATAAATAAAGGGCCCCTCCAAGCTTTTCTCTGCCACCTTGGGCCTGGGTTTCTTCTTATTCTAGGGACTCTCTCTTCTCATACCAATTCATCTTCTCATTTTCTAAAAATTTATTTTATTTATTTAAAGCAGAGTTACAGAGGAAGAGAGAGGGAGGGCGGGAGAGAAGGAGGGAGGGAGAGAGGGAGGGGGAGAGAGAGAAAGGGAGAAAGGAGAGAAAAAGAGGTCTTCCATCCACTGGTTCACTCTTCAGATGGCTGCAACAGCTACAGCTGGGCTAATCCAAAGCCAGGAGCCAGGAGCTTCTTCCAGGTCTCTCATATGGGTGCAGGGCCCCAAGTACTTGGATCATTTTCCACTGCTTTCCCAGGTGCATTAGCATGGAACTGGATCAGAAGTGGGGTCAGTCCCAAAAAGACAAACACCATATGCTCTCCCTGATCTGTGGTAACTAATAGAGTACTTAAAAGGTAATCTGTAGGAGTGAAATTGATACTTTTGAGATGTGATGATCTTTAACAGTCCTTGTCTCATTGTATTTTTTTCTTTTTTTAATATATTTTTTAATTTATTTGACAGATAGAGTTAGACAGTGAGAGAGAGAGAGAGAGACAGAGAGAAAGGTCTTCCTTCTGTTGGTTCATCCCCCAAATGGCCGCTATGGCTGGAGCTACACCCATCGGAAGCCAGGATCCAGGTGCTTCTTCCTGGTCTCCCATGCGTGTACAGGTGCCCAAGCACCTGGACCACCCTCCATTGTCTTCCCGGGGCACAGCAGAGAGCTAGACTGGAAGAGGAGCAACCGGGACTAGAACCCATATGGGATGCTGGTGCCGCAGGCGGAGGATTAACCAAGTGAGCCACAGAGCCGGCTCATCATTGTATTTTTTTCTTTATTCTTGTCATGCTATTTGTTGAACTCTTTGCTTAGTGTAGGGTTAATCTTATGAGCATAAAGTTAACTTTATAAAGATCTTTGTAAAATATAAGAATGGGAATAGGAGAGGGAGGAGGAAAAAAGATGGAAGCATGAGTGGGAGAGAGGGTAGGGTGGAAAGTATCATCACTATATTCCTGAATCTGTATATATGAAATATGTGACATTTGTATACCTTAAAAGATCATTTAACTGCTGATGTGGCAATTCAGAGAGGTAGTAAAATTCCTATTGAAATAAAAATGTATATAAGCAAAAGAGTTATAATTCTGAATTTCTTAGGCCAAAGTAACAATTCATAACATTTTATGTTCTCATGTAAAAACATTGGCTCAGCTACTCTTTTTCAATATTAAATGTGTAAGAAGACTTGAAAAAAAGTTTTTTTGTTAACTCTGCTGAATTTCCTAAAGATGTTACTTCTCTTAAGTGGTTGAATATAATCCTTGAGGATAAAGATAATCCATTTTAAATCGTATTTCTATGAGAAATTGTAAGCTAATTTTAGACTATGACTCACAAAGTAAACTATTGTTTAGTATTTTTGGTTTAATTTGAAAGGGATGCCTTTCAAAGTAGCCTTACATATTACTGGGCTCGTTTGAAAAATGTCTATATCATGCTCTTTATGGATAGTTCCTAGTTAATAATGTCAACAGTTTTAAAAAGTGGTGAATTATCAAAATAAATGATTGAAAAAACAATCTCTACTTTTCACAGATGGCTTCCTCATTTCCTTTATAAAGAAAATACAGGTAAGCTACTTCAGGATGATAAGTCTTGAAAGCAAAAGGAAAAAACTGGAAGTTTCATAAAGAGATGAAGTATCTCCTGAGTCTTAGATGATTTCACATGGGTTAGTATGGAGAGCTGAAATCTAAGGGCAAATTAATAGAGTGTGTTTTGAAATGTCTTTATATGGAGTATTTACATGCAAATGAAACATTTATGCTTGTTCTAAATTGTTGATGACACAAAAGGGCAAAAGGAAAGAGGAAGGACAAAAGGAAGGTTCTTTATCATGGGTGCCATGCTAGTTCATTGGTTAAGGAAGGAATTAACTATACAAACATCATTTTAGCAACATCAATGGAATTTTATTTATTTATTTAAAAAATTTTAATTAATTTTTTTTATTTATTTGAAAGGCAGAGTAACAGAGAGGCAGAGGCAGAGAGAGAGAGAGAGAGAGAGAGAGGTGTCTTCCATCTGCTGGTTCAATCCTCAGATGGCTGCAATGACAGAGTTGTGCCGATTTGAAGCCAGGAGCCAGGAGCTTCTTCCAGGTCTCCCACATGGGTGCAGGGGCCCAAGGACTTGGGCCATCTTCCACTGCTTTTCCCAAGCCATAGCAAAGAGCTGGATCAGAAGTGGAACAGCTGGGACTCAAACCGGCACCCAAATGGGATGCCGGAGCTGCATGCGCCAGCTTTACTCACTATGCCACAGCACCGGCCCCTGGAATTTTAAATAAAGGAAAAAATACTCACATTCCTGCTACCCAAAGATGAATCTGTTCTCATTTCTCACTTTGCTTAAAAAAAAAAAAAAACCTTTTGAGTCGTGTGTGTGTGTGTGTGTTTTTTTTTTTTTTTGATTTATTTATTTATTTGAAAGGCAGAGTTACAGAGAGGCAGAGGCAGAGAGAGAGAGAGAGAGAGAGAGAGAGAGAGAGGTCTTCCAGGTCTTCCATCTTCTGAATCACTTCCCAAATGACTACAATGGCCAAAGCTGGGCCAGTCCAAAGCCACGAGCCAGGAGCTTCTTCCAGGTCTTACACGTGGGTGCAGGGGCCCAATGACTTGGGCTATCTTCTACTGCCTTCCCAGGCCATAGCAGAGAGCTAGATTGGAAATGGAAAAGCTGGGACTTGAACCGGCACCCATAAGGAATTCTGGCACTGCAGGAGGTGGCTTTACCCGCTACACCACAGCACTGGCCCCTCATTTCTCACTTTTAGGACCCTTCTATTCTATTGCCAAGGCAGAAACATTGTTTACTTAGCCATTTTCAAATTGTTAAATGTGTGGCGTAGGTTTTGGTTTTGCTGTGCTTTTGATAATTGTGTTACTTTGAAAATATTACTGCACATAGATTCATTTGTGCCCAGGGAATAAAATAATTAAATACATGAATACATTAACTACCTTGATAATTAAAAACATTGAAAATATTTAAGCACTATTTAATGTAGATTTTAACCTTTTGCTTATTTAATTATTATAAATATTATTTATTGTTTGGCCCATTGAATTTTTCCATTTTAGTTTTTGCTTCATTTAGCACAAGTTTTGAATTTTCACACAATAAAATTAGTGGTAATTTTATTTGTGGTGACTTCTAATGCTTCAGTACTTTGAAGATTATTACTTCTCCAAAGATTTTGAGCTGAACTCAGTTATACACCTCATGAGGTCCCATCCTAATGTATGCAGGGAACCTAATGGTAGTGAGTGAGAAAACCAGGACTGACAAAGGGTATTCCAATTACAACACTGTCTATTTTAGTTATATACAAATTCCCTAGGAATGTTCAGTTTTCTGGAATGCATTTGTCAAGTGGGTGGGCTGGAAGTGATTGTGTAACTATTGCAGAAGTTTGAGTCTTTCAAAAAGTCTTATCTCAGCAGCTCAGATGTAGCATTCTGCCAGTAGTCACAGCTTCTCTGTTTCCCATTGTGTAGTCTGCAGATAGCCCTGATGAGAACTACAGGCTCATGTGGAAGGAGTCACAGAGTGTGTTAAGTGTAATAGGATATCCAGTGGGTCTTTTTATGGTGTCTTGAAATTTCATTTGAACTTCCAAAGCTGAGAACAAAAGGTCAAAAGTATCTCCAAACTTCTGAATGTGATATCAGCACTAGACATATCCATGCTGAAATTATGAAAAGACAGCAAGGGGCCGGCACTGTGGCACAGTGGGTTAAGGCCTTGGCCTGAAGTGCTGGCATCCCATATGGGCGCCAGTTCTAGTCCCAGCTGGTCCTCTTCCCATCCAGCTCTCTGCTGTGGCCTGGGAAAGCAGGAGAAGATGGCCCAAGTGCTTGGGCCCCTGTACCCATGTGTGAAACCCGAAAGAAGCTCTTGGCTCCTGGCTTCAGATTGGCTCAGCTCCAGCCATTCCAGCCATCTGAGGAGTGAACCAGTGGAGGGAAGACTTCTCTCTGTGTCTCTACCTCTCTCAGTAACTCTATCTTACAAATAAAAGAAAAATCTTAAAAAAAAAAGAAAAGACAACAAAACTAACAGTGGTTATCAACCTCTTTCATATACCTCCAGTTGATGTGGGAGAAAGGGGATTAGTTAAAGTGTATTTCTGGGGTAGTGGATGGTGTCATGGTGTTTCCCTTTCTCTTCCTGTGGGGAAACCCTAAGGAGAATTGGGGCCTCCAGTGGTGCCCTTGGATTGGACTGGAGAGGGATGGGACAGTTCAGAGAGAAGTGGATATGTGTCTTCTGGAGGTTAGGATCATAATGGATGGAATCTGAGGCTTGTTTCCTGACCAGTAAATCTGGAATGTGAGAGGCTGGTCCAAATAACCAATGAATTTTAAATGAGTGGAAAAGGCTGCAGTGGGAACTCTCTGTGCTGCAGGAATTTGTAATGGTGAGGATGTGCACATTCCAGGAGCTACGATGGAAAAATAGCTGACCCTGAATCAGGAGGGTTGCCTATGGGATGAAGGGATAGTCATTAGCTGTTATATGCTCTGGAAAGGAGCTGAGACGTTTTCAAGAAACTTTTGGGAGAAGTGGAGGAATACATTGGCTTTGACGGGGGCTTTTCAGCATGTGATTCCCATGGTAAACCTTTGAAAGCCCCACAGGCACATCCCATTCCAGTCAGGGGGAGGGAGAGAGAGAGAGGTCTTCCATCCGCTGGTTCACTCCCCAAATGGCCACAGCATCTGGAGCTGGGCTGATCTAAAGCCAGGAGCCAGGAGCTTCTTCCAGGTCTCCCACATGGGTGCAGGGGCCCAAACACTTGGGCCATCTTCCACTGCTCTCCCAGGTCATAGCAGAGAGCTGGATGCTGGTGCCACAGGTGGAGACTTAGCTCACAACACCACAGCACTGACCCTTCTTGAATCTTTTATAAAAATCTCTGTTAATTCTTTTTTAACTTCAATTTTTATTCTCTTCTTTTGAATGGTTGATTTATCTTTAATACTGACTCATTCTCAAATGCCTGCAACAGCTGGGACTGGACTAAGCTGAAGTCAGGCGAGGAGCCTGGAACTCTATCTGGGTCTCCCAGGTGGCTGGCAGGGACCCAGTCACATAAGCCATCACCTGGTACCTTGAGGGTACACATTGACAGGAAATTGGAGTTAGAAGCAGAGCGGTGGCCTGAACCCAGGTACTCCTTTGTGTGATGTGTGTGTCTCAAGTGACTTCTTAACTGCTGTACCAAATCCCTGCCCTCTTGTTAATCCAATTTTGGCATGAAGGCACTTCTAGGGGAAATTTTTCTAAAGGAGGGCCAGCCATATTAGAAACTCCACAGCATGATTTACTTTCTTAAATAGTCCACCTGTTGATTCTGGGTGTTAGTTTATCTTTGCCTTTTGGAAGAAGGCCAATTTCTCTTCTACATGATAAGCTTTCAAATATTTGAAGACCACTATATTTCTGTATTTCTGTTCTCACTGGGACCTTTTTCCCAACTCCTGCCACTAATTCATTTCCTCTTTAGAATGAGAATCTTATTCTGTGAACTGTTCCTCATTTGACATAGTTTTATGTCTTCCTAATTAAAGCCATGTTTTTTTTTAAGATTTATTTATTTGAAAGTCAGAGTTACAGAGAGAGTGAGAGACAGAAAGAGAGAGAGAACAAGGGGGAAGGAGAGAGAGAGAGAGAGAGAGAGAGAGAGAGAGAGAGAGAGAGAGATCTTTCATCTACTGGTTCATTCTCCAGGTGGCTGCAACAACCAGTGCCAGGCCAGGCCAAAGCCAGGAGCTAGGAGCTTCACTTAGGTCCCTTATGTGGGTGGCAGGGCCCAAACACTTGGGCCATATTCTGCTGCTTTCCCAGGAACACTATCAGGGTGCTGGATTGGAAATGGAGTAGCTGGGACACAAACTGGCACCCATATGGGATGCTGGCACCCCTGGTGGTGGCTTTATCCACTATGCCAAAATGCCAGCACCAAAACCATGTATTTTAATCTAAACTGCCTGCAAATCAGTCTGGGTCATTGTACCCTGAACTACCTTCAATCACTGCACTCTAAAGTAGTTCCAAATCTGTCTATTGATTTTTCTATTTATCTATCTAATCTAAATCTGTATCACCTGTCCATTCTATCAGTCTGTCATCTATTACTTATTATCTATCTATCTATCTGTCTATCAACCATCTATCTCTCTTATGGTCATTGTACCCCAAATAGAGCTTCAGTCACATACACAACCTACACATACTTCAAAAAATTAAATGAAAAATAGAATTAAAAGATAAATTTGCTCTATCAGAGTGTTTTAGTACCTGTTATCCAGCTTCCTTCTATTCCCTTTCCCCCTTACACATCTCAATTTCTAGTAATTGACAATTTTTAAAAAACTTACAAATATGAGAGAAATACAGTATTTGTCTTTCTATGTCTGGCTTATTTCACTTAACATAATGATCTCCAGTTCCATTTATTTTGCTGCAATTTCATCGTTTCTTATGGATGAATTATATTCTATTGCACATATGTAACACATTTTCTTTATCCATTCATACATTGAGGGATATCTAGGTTGATTCT